AAACATATGACAACCCATGGATAAAAACTATTTTTCAGCCAATTTGTTTGGCTGGCTATGCTTCTATATCTCCTGCCCAATGGTAGGAGAGTAAAGAAGTGCTGACCAGGGTTTGAATCATTCCTGAGGATTTTCTTCACTCTGCTGAAGCAGCAGGTCCTGGCGATTTTGTCCAATGGTGTCAGGGGACAGCCGTTATTTTTTTGTGCAGGCTTATCACCCTCTGTAATGCCTTTTTGTCCACAGCTGTCAAGCCAGCATACCATACCATAATACAATATGTAAGTATGCTTTCTATCATAGACTGGTAAAAGGAAGTAATCAGTCATTGTTCCACCTCATATTTCTACAAGACCCTAAAGAAATGAAGTCTCTATTGAGCCTTCCTGACCACCTGAATTGTGTTATTTTTCCAGGTGACATCTTGGCTAAGGTGGGAAAGAAGAGACCCTCTCCACACAGTCCTCCTTGATTTTGAGTGGGGCAGGTTTCTCTCTCTCTGCTTCTGGAAGTCTAATACTATCTCCTTTGTCTTGCTGGTGTTTAGATGCAAGTTGTTTTCTGAGTACCATGTGGATAATGCCTGGACTTCTTCCCTGTATGCTAATTTGTCTCTCCTATAATAAGACCCAGTACAGTGGTATCATCTGCAAACTTTATTATCATGTTAGATGGATTAGAAGATATGCAGTTGTATGTGTACAATGAGTACAGGTATGGACTGAGCACGCAGCCCTGAGAACCGGTGCTGAGCTTCAGGGAGGAGAATGTGATAGACCCAGCTCTCAATGTTTGTGGCTAGTCCATCAAAAAGTTTTTTAATCCAATCACAGGTGCGAGAAGGGAAATTCAAGTCAGTCAACTTTTGATGAGAATGTCCGGCAAAGTAGTGTTAAAAGCCAAGTTGTAATCTATGAAAAGCATTCTGACGTAGTTTGTAATTCCTCAGATAAAGATGGAAAAACCTCATCTGTAGTACAGCATTGTCTCATAGTTCTAGACTTATTTTCTTAAGGTCCTAGACTCTTTAAGAAAACAATTATTCCATAAACTAGACAGTTTGTGTTTAACTTTTTAATTAAAATTTCCTAGTGGCAATGAGCATCACTAAGCACTCAGCACTATTTGTTTTGCTATTATATGAAAAAATCCTCTATTGTTTCCCTCCTCTATTGATGCCTAGACAAAAAAAAAATCAGAATCTTAAGGATGCATTATTTTCCCTTTCACTATTATTCAGAAGAGATATATAAAATGTTTCTCTTGTTTAAATCACCAAATATCATTTTGACATTTGTCCTCTGTGTGATTTTAATACCAGAAGAAACTATTTTGGCAGACAAAATGCTTTTACTGTCTAACAAACAGATATAGAAATTAAGATTCAATTGCCTACCTTTGGTCCATAAGGAAACCAATGGAGGTCAATGTCAGACCAATGTAGCCAACCCTCATGAGAAGAGTTACCTGTGATAACGTCTGTTAAAACAACAAGCAGACAAATTACTCATTTAGGTTAGGTCTCTGGAGAGATATTGTGTTCTAAACTTCCCAGTGAGGTAGTCTGAACTTTCAGTCTCAATTATATGAGTTTGTTACTGTCTGCTTTTTGAATAGTTTGATACTTTAAACTTTACAACTGCAAATCCACTGAAAATCCTTTATTCCTCCTTCATGACTTTGGGTTTCAAAGCTGAAGGTTACAAAACTTGGATATTTTCCTCTAAATAATTCTTTGCACAATATTACTTTTGAAAATAATTCTTTCATTCTTATTATGGTTTATTCTCTTGACGTTTGAACCTTTAATGACCTGAACAAAGTGGTAGACCTGTTTTCTAAATAAATATCATATCACATATCTGCCTCCTTTCTCCAGCCTTTCTTTTAGTAGCATTAGATCTTTAAATTTTCCAATCTGCATTCTCTGGAGAATATTAGCAACTGAAAAAAAGTATCCTGTTAAAAGGAGGGGTGAAAGTATAGAAAAAAAATAAGTTAGACAGCTTATTCTTATATGTATTTTTCTGCTTCATAACTATTAAAAGTATTAAGTAATGTTACTATTTGGAATCTGGATTCTTCATATTTGAATCAAGTGGAACATTAAGTGTATTCAGTTCAATTCAGACACCCTGGTTATAATACACAAATGGGAAATATGTGGTTGAAAGGACTGAAATTTATATTACGTTATAGATTTATTTTTTATAAAATGCTGTACTGTTGGGATATTATACCAGAAAAATAATCTAGAATGTATAAAGGTGCTTCAGATCTTTATTGGAAATGTGAACTATAGCAAAGATATTTTATCATGCTTACTAATTTGGGACTCAAATGTATACTCTGAGATTTTACAGATAATCCTGAACTTACTGTCATTTTATGATCATTTGGAGTTAAAATGGCTTCAAATGGATGCTTTATCATCATTGTAAAATGTGATGACATAACCATATTTCAGGCATTTTGCAAATTTTTCTCCTTCATGACAGATTGCAGCATTACATGGTCATGTAAAAAAAGGTTTATTTGGAACAATAAGGCATTCATTTAAAGACTCAAGTGATTTGTTTAATGACCATATAGACCAAATGTCATAGTTACTTCAGCTTATGACCACAATGATTTATGACTGGAGTTTTGGTCTCAATTGTGTACATAAGTTAAAAACTTCCTATAAAAATTAATATTCAACTGAACTTCGGAACAATTGGGTAAGTGATTTGAAAAAAAAATCCATTCATATTCTTTTTATATATGATAACTACAGTGAGATTATTGTTTGTACAGACAAACAGATTTGCCAATATTTACCAGGTGGAATGGTTGGTGAAATTAACAGAACTTGCTAAAATGGCTAAATTAACTTGTTTGATTAGAATAAAATATAATATTTGTTCATTCATAAATGACAGAAACCCCTTACAGACTTTTTGTTTAAACTTTTAAAAAATATACTTGTGATTTATGGCTTTGATGGTTAAATAGGAAAGCTTATAGACAGAAAAGAGTCTTGAAAGCAGTGTTGGGCTATTAAATTATTTCTGAAAAAACATAGCAGCTGAGAGAGTGGCAATCAACAAGGATACTGGTAATTGGAGCCTCAAACAGCAGCCCAAATTCTTTTTCTATGGGTATGGAGAACTCATTAAGACATCTGACCCAGGCCATTTTTGAGTGGGTTTGCTTCACTAAAGATTCAGAAGGCACTTATCATCCCTAAAGTTTTAAACTACAAAACTACAAAAACAGAATCATTGCTTTAAATACAACTTAATCAGTTTATAACCCAACACAAATTTCTCATTTGTGCCAACATTTTAATCATAGAGCCACTTTCATACTTTTGATAAAAGTGATGCCAAAAGGATAGTTCATTGCAACAATTATTCTTAGCATAAATATCTACTGATTCAGACTAATTTTCCCTTACAGAAAAAGAGAATTTTTAATTGGGAAGCTGCTTACAATACAGGGAACACAATGATTTTTAATACTACTCAATAAAATTGCAGAAGAAAATGAATTATTAGCAGTCTGGCAAATTAATACAACATCCTACTTAGAAAGGGAAACATAATGTACCTCACTGCTCAAAGTACAAGTTAATCTTGTATTCTGATATACCATGAACATTTTTGAATATTCTATATGCTTTGATACCTCAATACTTAGCCAAACCACTGTGGTTTTATCAAGAACTAAGAAACTGAATATAATAGTTGTTACTGCCTACTGAAAAAAACAAGAAGGGAAAATTATCCCTATACACCAATGTATATTTACTGACCTAGGAAAATTATGTGACCTCACACATTTTCTAATATCAATTAGATTATGCCATTCCCCTAGGCCCGTGATGGGGAAACTAGGGCACGCGTGCCTCAAGTTGCATGCAGAGCCATTTCTGCCAGCACGTGAAACGCCACCTGGAACAGATCCACTGTGCATGTGCGCGTGCCTCCCACCAGCCAGCTGATTGTCGGGTATCTGCTGCACATGCACAGGGGGCAGGGTACGTGCAGGAGACCCATATGCATGCTCAGAAGCATGTGGTGTGCATAGGGGGCATGTGTGTACGTGTAGGGGGGCAGAGGGGGTCACACACACATTACATTATGGGTGGCATGCAACGAAGAAAAGGTTAGCCATCACTGACCTAGACCCTGAATCTGCTGGCTACAACTATTGTACTGTAATGTTACCAGCTCAATAATAAGTGCTGAAACAATAAAAGAGAATATTTATAGGTCAGGATTGAAATGAGGGGTCATTTGTACTCTTCAAACTTGGTTGGTTTTTTGCAGACATTTCATTACCCAAACTAGGTAACATCCTAAGTGCTACCACTCATCATCACTGATAATACCTAGTTTTGATAATAAAATATCTACAAGAAAACTACAAAGTTCAGAGCATCAGTGACCCTCAGTGCTGAAACATTTTTTCTATCTATACTGGTATCCGCAAAGGACCACATTCTGACCACTACTTTCATTCCTATATAGATCTTGTGACCAAAACCTCTTATCCTAATTGCTATATTCCTGATGATGTTATGATCAGCAGCAAAACATGAAACAGCCTCTAATTTGCACTATATGACAGGAGTGGATATGCATCTTCATGATTAAACTGAAGCTCAACATTAAGAAAACCAAATATCTTGAGTACAATTTCCAGGCCAATGGTATAGTCAAGATAGATAGATCCAATTTCAATAGTGTTAGCTAGTGTAAACATCTGAGTTCATATATGACTGTAACATACTACTGGATAACTAAAGAGAAATTAAGTATCTGTTACTGATGTTCTATGCAATCAGACAATTTCTCTATATCTGAAATTTAAAATTTATCAAATAGTTATCAGATGGTAATATAAGTTATGAAATGGTAATATAAGTGGTAATGTAAATTAGGGAATGTTGACCAGCAACAAAGAAGCCAAGAGCAGACTCTCAAAAATATGAAAATAAGAATGCTAAGTAATCGTGACAAGTCTGAGTGATAAATGAAGACAAATAAAAATCTTGGTGTTGCTTCCATTTCTAAGAAAATATAAGAATTATGCTTGCAAGCCATAGTATATGGCTTGCAGGCCATATACTATGTAACAACAACTCTGCAGCAAGAATAGCTTTAGAATTAAACACAGATCACTGGTCAAAATGACAACAAAAATTATAAAATAGCATCTTGTGAAGATCTATTGTAAGAAACCACATAGCAAGTAAATAGATCCTAAAATCCAGGCATACCAGAAATTGGTAGTAGTTGTAGTAGTAACAATATATAACAACATATACAGTTGTAAACCAATAGGTGAAAATATATGGGTCTTGGTCTTTATCTTTTGATTTTTAAACATGATATGAGCAGAGGATTATATGCTTATTTCGGACCTTTCATCAATAATATCAGAATACTATGATTTCAAACTCAGAAATTCTATTGACGATTGCCATACATTCTTTTTTATCCTTTATGGAAATATTTCCTATCTATATTATGCCTTGATTAATAAAACTTTTCAGCTTTACCTTAATTTTGTGTTTACTGCTTTTGAATCCAGTATGCCTACCTACCTTTTAGTATGTCAAAACAAAGTCCAAACTTTTGTATTCAGTAAAGTATTTATAAAGCAACTCTTATTTTTCCATTGTTCCAAATCAAGAAGTTGACACTTATGTTATTTTTCTACTGCCAAATAAATCCATTCAGATGATTCTGCTAGATACTATTAATTGCAACTTTTGTATCATAAGCCATGTTTAGTGAAACAAAACTGTTTCCAACAATATCACTTACATATGCAGTGATTCACTGTCAACATCCACCTTTCCTTACTAAGACCAAAAATGGTCAGAATTAATCATCATTTAGGTCCTGGTGAGAAGAAAAGGACATAGAACTAGATCTGAAAGGAAACTGAGCATTTCTGGCTGTCTCAAACTATTAAGTTTCAAGATATTTCCGTCTAATAAAATTAGAAATAGAGTCATATCCTTTTAGAAATCAGTAGAGATTTTTTTTCCATTGGGCTTCTATGTAAAGCTGTTTGTGGAAGAATCATCTACCCAAATGTGTGTGGGGGTTTGGTCCAAATATTTTTTTTCTGTGTTTCTTATTTTGTCCAAGAAAAACATTTCATGCTGAGGAACTTCATGGACAGAAAAAACATTATGTGCTCATGTGTTACAGCAAAGATAAAGTCACTATAGTAATAAGAACTATAAAGTTATATACTGTTTCAAGTGCTTTGTAGAATGGAACATATGTCTAAAAATGAGGAAAACAGTTGTTTCTATATATGGACTATTGCCACATTTGTGACATAGCCAAGGAAAAAACTCCAGTTGTGTCTACGGGCATTTCATAATTCATCGTAGTGGAAAATTGATATTGAAGATATATGCCAAGTTATATTATTCACATACATGCTTTATTTCTACAATAGTTCTAGATATTTTTTTTTAGGATTCCTGCAACATAGATTTCTGCCTAGCTTGAGTCTCTATTACATGCCTAGGCCAAGAATCCTGAAATGTGTACTCTTGTGTAGTTTTTCCATTATTTTGTAGTACTATCCCTTTGAACAATTATTGCCTGCTTTGTATTTATCATTGGGCCACATTCTGCAATACTCTTAAATTGATGTTGTCTGGCCAAGCAAAGTTCTTTTAACCAGAGCAGGATAATCATGGGGGAAAAAATAGTCCTCTCTCGTCAAAAGTTCTTCTTACTGATCAGGATAAGGCATCCTAAGATCTTATCCCAGCAACTAAATTATGTAAGCCAATTATTTAATTCCCTGCCCTTACCCCAGGGGTGTTAAACTTGATTTAATTGAAGGCTGCATCAGGGTTGTGTTTGACCTTGGAGGGCTGGGGAGGGTTGGGGCATGGCCGGGGTGGGTGTGGCCATAGTGAGCATGACACAGGACTCATGTCAGGGGGGCACTTGTGGTGGCCAAGTGTTACGGCAAGACTTCCCTGAGACCCTCCTGCCTCAATCTCATTATATAGGTAATCTTTGAGTTAAAAATGTAATAGAGCCTATCAATTACATTTGTAACCTGAGGACTCATTTGATTAAATTACATTAAATGAATGTGATCACTCCCTGCTTTCCCCAATGCATTTGTTAATCGAATGCGCAGGTCATTAAATGCACACGAGGTATTTCAGAGTAGGGAAGAACATGCAGGGCCTAGGGCTGGAGCAGGCCATCCAAGGCCTCCCCCAATCCACTGAGATATATCATGCACCCTGGGATCTTTGCAATTGCTTTCCCCCCATCCTGTCCCATTGGATCTCTATAGACTGAGCCTGCTTTGCTAGCATCCCAGTTTCCACTTACTCCTCCCCACCCATTTCCCAGGAATTAATTACTTTTTGAAGAGTTCAGAGCTCCAGAAGAGGCTGACCCATTGGCAGAGGCCAAAGTGTTTTATTTAGATGATGGTTTTAAAAATGAAGCTTTTAAAAATGTGGAAAACATTTTTGCCAGCTTCTGAGTAGAAGTATTTGGCTTGGGACCTGGAAGTAGAAAAGGCCTGGACTGGGCAATAGTCTCCTGCTTCAGAACAGCTTCAGGGATTGAAGCAGCAGCAGCAGCCAATCAACAAGAAACTCGCTCCCTTTGTCACATTGGGCTGAACTGCAAGCCCCTTGTTGATTGGATACCATGCCCAATCCCTCAAGTTGCTCATTTAAACTATCCAGTCAGCAGCAAGCAGGAGGCTGCTTGTCAATGACTAGACTGGACCCAAACTAAGCCTGCAGGCCCTCATGGCAGAGAAGCCGGTCTTTTAATCAGATGGGGAAAGCTGTTTTCCTTATATGTCATGTTCTTACAACTTCACCAGCTTCTAAATAAAAGACTTTGGCTTCTCTGCTACATGGGTTAGCCTCTTCTGGAGCTCTTCAAACAATAAGTACAGTAAAGCCATGGGAAATGGGGTGGGAGAGAAGTAAATGGAATCCAGGATGCTAGCAAAGCAGAGTCTGTGAGAAGTAAATACTTTTTCAGATGACTGAACAGCGCCTCAGAGGGCTGGATCTGGCCCATAGAGGCTCCATTTCAGCCTGTAACAGGCCAGGAGAGGCCTTCAGAGGGCAGAACGAAACTTCATAGGGCTGGATCTGGCTCCCAGAGGCTCAATTTTGGTCTGTATCTGGCTGAGGGAGGCCCAAGGAGGCCAAACAAGTCTCAGTGAGCCATATCTGGCCAACAGAGACTCTATTTTGGCCAGCAACAGGTCAGGGGAGACTTCTGGAGGCCCTACACTGCATTTTCACTAGCAGAGGCACTGAGGCCAGTTCTTTGCTATTTACAGGCTGGTCCTGTGGGCTGGATCTAAGCACCATTCAGGCCAGATGTGGCCCATGGCCCTAGAGTTTGACACTCCTGCCTTAACCCAACAGTAGGGAATTAGGAGTTTCCTCTGCTCATTTCTTAAGAACTTGCTTAGGAGCAGAACATGAAAAGATGGAACAGTATACAAATACTTGGTTACACAAAGACAAATGAATAGATAAGACTATTCAAAATTAATTAATTGAAATAAAGGAAGCTTTATTCGAGCTAGCTATGTATGGGTAAGATAAAAGAATTCTAGCAATCTGACCATGCTATATCCAATGCAACAAGTTTATCACTAAGAGTCTGCCTTAACTCCCAGAGCATCAAACATTGTAATAAAGTAAGAAACTCCATGCATTTTATTCTGGCTTTTCTCTAGACTTTTCCATTCTATTAGTCCATCCCTGGTATCATTAGTACAGTTTCCTGGGTATTCTGATTTTATGAGAATTTATGAGAAGAATAACTTGAATGACAGGTTTTATTAGTTTAACCAGCAAAAGTATTGAATAATAAGCAGGCAAGATAGGACACAATGTGGTTGATTGAAATAGCTAAAAAATATATCATCTCTTACTTCTTTGAACAAACCCCACTAAATATTAATGGTTGTATACTTACTTGTTTATTTATTATAAGAAATCAGATGCTTATAGTAGTTAAGGTATGAGTATAACACTAAAACATAAGATTAAAAATTGTAGAAATGACTAACAAAGATCATCAATTTCTTGCCATATTTAAATCATACATATATTAAAAGGTAATTAGACAACCATTCACACAAGATACAATAATAATTTTGGTTCATTCAACTTTTTTCAGTTTTATTCATCAATCATTAGAAATGCAAATGATTTGTATATTTAATTTTTTTTCAAAGATCAAAAATAGCCTTTTTAAGTAAAATTTAATTTTACTTACATATTTGGAAGTAGTTAAGTCAACATAAAATCCTATCATTATGACAAAATGTATTATTACATAGCTATACATGTAGCTTGGCAATTTGCGGTTGAAAGGAACTTCCTTCCCAGTGACCTATAGTTAATAAAGCAGATTATTTTTTATTAAAATGCATTGTCATTGTCATTGTAATTTAAAATGCATTGTCACATATATTTTATTGATATTTTTTTTATTAAATTTTTATTCTTGAAAAAACATTTATTTGACATAAAACAGACAAATCAACATATATATATATAGATATAGATATAGATATATAGATATATAGATATATATATAGACATATATACATTTTACAGCATATATTGAGCAATGGTTAAAAAAGATTTCTTTATCTTTATCATTGACGTGATCTGCCTTGTTACAATAACTCATTCGTTCTTTAAATGTTTTATTTTCTCTATATAGTTTATGATTAAATGCACGTCTTCTGTCATTTCCATAACTTATCCATAACTTATTACCTTTTCTTTAACCACTCATACCAAATGTTCCATATTTCATAATAGTCACTATCTTGTTTATTTTTTAATAATTTGGTTAGGCTAGCCATCTCAGCGCATTCATGTATTTTTTAATTACCATATCCTCTAAAGGTATGGAAGACAGTTTCCAGTTTTGTGTGTAGGTTATTTTGGCCACAGTTATGATGTGCAAAATTAAATATTGATATTTTTTCTCCATGTTTAAATCTATCATACTTAGCAGAAAGGGTTCAAGTTTTAAATTTTGTTTTGTTATATTTAAAATCCAATTTCTAATATTTCTCCAAAATTTCTGAGCACATGGGCAAGTCCACCACATGTGAAAATATGTTCCTTGTGCGTAGTTACATTTTCAACAATTGGGTGGTAGGTTGGGGAACATCTTAGCCAGTCTCGCAGGAGGTAGGTGCCAGCGATGAACCATTTTATATCAGTTTTCTTTATACGAGAGTGACATGGTTAATTTGTAATTTGTTTGCCAGATGCGTTCCCACTTATCTAATTCAATACTATGACCCACTTTTTTAGCCCAAATTATCATAGATTCTGTGACTGTTTCTTCTTTTAATTTGTAGTCCATAATAATGATAATGATATTTTTTTTTTACCTTTATTGAAAATAACTTTCCCTGAGATATCTTTAACTGATTTATTATTTTAATCAATAGCTACTGTTGTTCTTTTCGTGTCAGAAGCATCAAGGAGTTTCTGGGTTTTGGTGATAATTTTTTATACATCTTACGAGCCTTGCTTGGGGAAGATGGCACCTGCAGAGCATCTAATATACATTTTCCTTATAGGCTGTCACCTTAGTTAATTTCCTATTGTTAGTCCAGAGTTTCTGCCATTTTGCCAGTTCTATGTTATAATCAAAGTTTTTTGTACAGGCCACCATTGTTTCCTTGACATGCTCTTCCTCTAATATTCTAATAAGTATCTGTACAACATCTAATCAGCTTTTCATTGGTCTCTATCAGGAATTTGTCTAGAATTGTTAGTTCTGTACCGATACCATATTTTCCTATCCTGTGTGCATCTCATTTGAATTTGTAGATAGGACCACCACTCTAAATTTATTCCCTGTGAAGTCAGTTCTGTTCTAGTTTTCAGTTCTCCTTGCCCATTCAGTATACCCCTATATTTTCTCCATATTTATCAAATTAGGTGGATTAGTGCTTCTAGTATGGAGAGCCAAATAGGGGTTTCCATATAATTTGGGTGTTTAATTTTGTTCCATACTATTAATAGTGCCTCACCTTTTTCACTATTTGAATGTTCATTTCCTTTTGTTCATTTGTCATATTCTTGACTAATATTTTGTTTTTTCCATGTTAATTTTTACCCTGCTACTTTACCAAATTCTGCCAATTCCTCCATTAATTTCTTGCCAGATTTTAGAGTTTCCTCTAATATGAATACTAGATCACCCACAAATGCTTGTAGTTTATACTTTTCTTGTATAATTGTCAAGGCTTTAATTTGTTCCTCTTTCTGAATATTTCTTGTCAACACTTCTAATGTTAAAATAAACAGATTCAAATAAACAGATTTTTAACAACCAGCTCTGAGGGCATGACTAGGTGGGCGTGGCTAGGTGGGCATAGCCATGTGACTTGGTGGCTGTGGCTTTTTCTTCTTCTTTTTTTGGCAACATCCCCCCTCCATTTTTTTTTGCCTCCTGGGCCTCGGGATAGCCTCTTGGGGGGCATTTTTGCTCCCAGGCTTCCCAGGGGCCAAGGAAGGCAAAAAACAGAGCGCGGGTAGGGGAGCAGCACTCCCCATGCCCCTTTTTGCCTCCTGGGCCTAAGGAAAGCCTCCTGGATGAAGCAGTAAGACCACAAGGGAGATCCTGACACAGCTGATCAAAACAGCTGATTGTTGCGGTTTGTTCCTTGTCGGAGTTGGAGTACAATCGGCGATCGTGCATGGTTTCACCCGATCTCACTAGCTGAACAGTCCCGATCGAGACTAGAACCACCCTGGTGGGGTGGTGAAGAAGGGGGAAATCGCCTGGAGAGTCAAGGGGGGTCGCAACTCCTCTCCCTGACAGGAAATCCCTCCCAAAGGCAAGCTGCAGCGGTGGTCTTAAAATGGCCACCATGAAGACAAGGAACACTCTGGGAAACTTAGTTTTGTGCTGGAGCAAAGAAGTAGTGAGCAGAGTGTGACCAGGCAAAGGACATTGCTTTTGAGGTACCCCAGTATTATAATAAAGGGCTATCTTGGATGGAAGTGTGTGGAAGTGACAACTGGAGAAAGTGAGAAAGAAATTGGATCTTATAAAGCTTGGATTGGATTAATTTGGAGGAGAAAATTTAAAGGAAAATACTTTAACACAACAAAGGTTTAGAAATGAAACTGGATACCTATTGAATTATGGGCACTTAAAGGGCACAATTAAAAGCTGAAATTGAGTGTGTTGAAAGGAAAAGAAATAATAGCTAATGATTGAAATTAGCGAACTTAATAAAAATATTATATTCAATAAAGAAAGTTAAAGGTAGAAAGACTCAAAAGTGCCACTTGATGGTACAGGAAGACTTCAGTACATTTTTAAAAGTGTCTGGTCTTCTCAAGAGTTTGGATTTTGGAACTTAAAAGAAAATAAAACAAACTTTATTATTGTTATAGAACCATCTGAACAAAGACTCAAGAGTATGGATAGTTGAAAATAAATTCAAAGATATTGGCTGAAATAATATACTGGACTCTGGGATTGAATATATCTATTAAAGAAGAGGATTTTAACTATTAAGGAAGAGGAAAGAAAAGGAAAAAAGTAGAAGATCTAATGAAGAAACTATTTGTTGATATAAGATTGGACTTACAAGAGTCAAGATTGGATTTGCAAGATATAAGGGACATGATAAACATTAAACTTGAAATGTGTAATTATGTACTACAGAAATTAGAAATGGTGACTTAGCATACACAAGAACAAAATAAACCAGAGGGGGAGGAGTTCTATAAAGAAGAAGCCAACATTGAAGGACAAAACGAACAACAATTATTTAAGCAGAGGGGAAAAGGAATTTGAATTAAAAATTTGTGGTCTGATGGGAAGATAGAAGGGAGAATGGATAAAGGAAGAGGGAAAAAGCAAAAGAGGGAGAGAGAAAAGTTTATTAACTGGAATGAAAAATGGAGGGATATAAGAATGGAAAAAAAGGAAAGAGAAAAGACCAGAAAACAGGAATAGGAAACAAACAAGGATGAAAAGAAAGTATATTGCCAAAGAGTGACAGATAATGGGTGAAAAAAAAAAGGATAAGGAAGGAGATTCCGTAAGGTAATATGATGCATAAGAATATATTGAAAATAGTATTTTGTAATGTATAGATGATTCATAAGGTGTTTGAGAAAATATAATGTGGAATCTGAGAAAAATATATGTATTTGTGTTATATACTAGATAGGGACATTGATACTAAGGTAAAATGAAGGTGGTTAGCTCGAATTATTAACCAGAGGGAACAATTATATTTACAGATAAGGACTGATAAAATGACAAATGTGATAGAAAAAAGTAATATGAGAAATGACAACAGAAATGAGATGAGAATTTTAGATAACATTGTAAAATAAGATATGAGAATGTATTAATATAACATGAATTGGAATTGGATAAGATAAGCTTAATATTTAATGATAATGAGGATGATGCAATATGAAATTAAACAAATATAATGAACAGATAACTATGGTCATGTTTGTATTGAGATGTGAAACCTGAAACCACAATGCTTGCCAAATGAGAATTTTTTATTTTAAAAAATAAAATAAAAGCAGGGAGAAAATTGAATAATGGGATTACTAGAAATGTTTAAAATGTTTAATTTTGAAAGGTTGAAAATAAGCATTGAAGGATTATGAATTAATGTGAAATATATGCATTGAGAGATATGATTGATATTATTAATTTTGCCCATACTAAAATGTATGATATATTAATGCCACACTATTAATGTATTGTTGTGCATATGCAGATTGAAATAAAAAAAATGGGGAAAAAAAGAACAGCTGATTGTCAGGAAGGGAAAAAGAAATACATTGAGGAGTGACTGGATGGGGGAGAATGCAGTCAGCGATGTCGGGCATTAGCACATGCTCGATAAGGACTGACTGGACAGGGAGAGGAGGGGCAGGTAGAGAGGGGCAGGCCAAGGCCAGCCAGGGGCACGATTTGCTGGTTATCCAAACTGTGCAGAATCTTAACAACCGGTTCTATAGAACCGGTCCGAACCAGTAGAATCCCACCCCTGAATTAGACAGTGACTTCACTGTTGTCAGGAGATGCCCAGTTGGAGGCTGATATAATATTCTTATTAATGTGCCCACCAAAGTATTTATTTACTTGCATTTGCACTTTTTGAACTGTTATGCAGGCAGGAGCTGGAACAAATGGTGAAAGTTCAAACCCTTGCATAGCAACAGTCAGGTCTCGAACACAGACTTTAAGACTCTTATCCCAGTTTGTTTGCAAATACACAGAGCTATAGTATCTAGAAATTGCTTAAAGGACATTGATACTTACTTCAGGAATGTCTTCAATAAGGCCAAGTCTTGGCTTGCCTGGTGCCCATCCTGGTCCCTTGATTATAACTGAAAGTTTATTGACAAATCCAGGTGTGGTCCAAAATATGTTCCATATATAAACACAATGATGAAACTATAAAAATGGAAAACATCCAGGTTTATATTGCTCAAAATTAATGAGAATACAAAGCAACAGAGAAGCTTTCATTACTCATTGTTATAAACAAAATATTTGAATATAGATTGTAACAAAGCTTTGCTTGAGTTTTTGTGAGAAGATAAACAGTCTAAATATCCATTGGCAATTTTTGTCCCCCATCCTGTTCCATTGGAATGCAGAAATTCATCCTCCTGCAGCACTCTGCTGGCCGAAAATGGGCTGAAAAACAGGCTAAAAAAGGGTCAAACAGTCTGAAAACAGCTGAACATACCAAAAAAACATGCCCAAGAGGCCCAAAACCAGCCAAAAAAAATGAGCCAAATAACAGACTGCAAAATGGGCTGAAACCAGGCAAAAATGGGCCCAAAACAAACTGAAAAATAGGCTGAAAAACAGGTCGAAAATGGCTGAAAAGGGGGCAATGCAGCAAAGTGCTGCAGTGGTCATAGATGGTGAAAATGAGGTGAGGGGATATGTGTGGATCCCCATGCCCCATTTTGGCCAGCAGGGTACTGCAGAAGGCATCCGTCCCACCCACCCCCACTGCTGATCCGCAGAAGAGAACTACAATGCCCTCAAAGAAACTTAGTTTGACACCTCTGTTCTAAGCCATAGGAAGCCATTATGCTTGAACATGATCACCATCCTCGGGGGAAAAATGAGACAGTTTGATCTAGATCTTTTATTAAAACATAAAAATAGTGTGGGCAAATTTAATAATAAGGATTACCTGAACTTTTAATGATTCAAAAGTATTTATGGGGTGTGTCAGACCATATACAACTTTATCTTTTTCTGCAGCAAAGGTCCCTAGATGGAATATAAACACAATGTTTTGAACATAAATTAAAAAAAAAAATTATTATTTTTTCATTTCATTCATGCATAGATATGTTCCACATTCCATTCCCTGGATGGCTTATAAAATCAAATAAAATAACCTTAAAACTAGAAAGCCATAACACTGAACCAAAACATGTTGACATATACAATAAATTAATCATCTACTTGCTACATAGTCAGCTTAAAAATTGCCTAATAAACTCAGTACACTCACAGAAAAACAACAGTCTTCTTACTGTTCTAGCTTGTTTCCATAAATCTGCCTCCTAGACCTATGGGGTGAGGATGAGGAGAAGGGTAATAAAAATCATACTCTGCCACATTGTATAAGTTACGAAGCTTTGGTCAGGGAAGATCATTCTGCAAAGGGCTTTATGTTGGTTCTCACACTGATAATAAAAAAATAAGACAGAAACAATCTGACCATTAATAAATATTCTGTTAGCTTGGATGGGATAAAAAGTGTTAGAAGTCTTGAACCATGTCTTTATCACTTGGCCTACTTCTTGAGGGCTACCAGAAATTCCTTTTGTTTCACTTTTTCTTTTTTCAATATATATGACTTATTATTTACTCTTGAATTTTGTTATTAAGTTATCTAAGTGGTTACAGTCCTATTTCCAGGTGAATCCTAACACCTTGTAAACTATTACGTTATTTTTAATTATACCCAGAAACCTGAAAAAAAGAAGTTCTATAATTTCTGATTCTACTGAACTAACCCTTGTTGTGTTATCAAGCAAGATCAGCATTCAGAAATTTTTAAGTAATCTTCAAAGACAGTCCAAGAAAGAGCATTTTATAGCAATCTTAAAATAAGGTAATGACAAAAGTGACTTACCAAAAATTCTGTCCCAAATAATTAATGTACCACCATAGTTTTTATCAATACAGTATAGATTTCTGCCTAAAGAGAAAAAAAATGAAGCATTTTTTCCATTGGATTTGAACAATATATTAAGCTGAAACCACATTAACACAAATGAGAAAAGATAGTCATTATTGTTACTTAAAGGCTGAATACTTTTAATTAAGCATTATTAACCTAATTTACATCAAGGCCTTCGCTTATAATTATTTCATAGTATCTTCTCTCTCTATCTCTCTCTGTGTCTGTCTGTCTGTCCGTGTGTGTGTGTGTGTGTGTGTGTGTGTGTGTAAAAGTAAAATATCTGATAGATATATATGGACAGACAGACAGAAAGAAATATAACCATGTAATATATCCATAGGTAACCAGTGTCTAATTTAGAAATAGGATCCCATGACATTTGTAAGATTTTACAACACTACTTTAAAATTCATCAGCCAAAAGGTATTGCAAAAGAGAATTCTATCTAATTTCTCACATTGAATAATATCTAACAATAAATACACTATTATAGCTTCCTAATATCCAGTATTGCCTACCATGATGAACTCTGTGATGACTAGGAGTATTAAGAATAAACTCCAACGGACCAAGATTTTCAATGACCTTTGAAAAAAACCAATAAAACATGCAGTATAATTACAATGTATTGGAGCTCAATAAAATAATAGCAGATGCTGCAACAGAAAAAAAAACAAAGGGTAAAAAAACTGTTTAACAAATTTTTAGTTAATTCAGAAAATTCAGTCAGTTTTCATGAGATCGACATTTCTACAGTGTGTAAATAATTCACCAACAATAACAATTCAGAATGACCTCTTACTTTTTGTAAGATATGCTATTATTTTGATTATGTTGCAATCAAGTTGTTCTTCATTATAATTTTATCATAATCTTTTCTGAAGGAATTCCAGAGAATATTTGTTGAATTCTATTTTTAAAACATTATCATGTAAACTTCAAGTTATACCATATATAATTTATATATCTGTTTAGATCATTGCATGTTTGAGCAGATACCTGAACTTGCATCTCCTTACTTTTGGTTTTTAGTCATTATGTTTTTCAACACTTCTGTAAATGTAGAATTTACGAACTCACATACAGTAAAAAAAAAAAAGGTTAATAAATTGAGAACACTTGCAAGAAAAATTATAAACTTGTACATTCAGTTATTCATGGCAATATTTATTGATCTCAAACTATTATTTCAATGCAGTGAAATGACATATGTTTATACTGTATTTCTTGCTCTTTTTCCAAATATAAAGTGGATATAATTTCAAATTATACTTTTCTGACTAAGTAAGAAAGGTATTACCTAAAAGTATTTTAATTATGATCACATATTTATCTGAGTTTTATTTCTACAGAGCAGATATTTGGATGATTATTTCTAATATTCAAAACTCAAGGACAACAGAAATGTTTGCTTTTGAATATTGTCCCCAAATAACTTCAAGCTCCCCAAATTATCTTAGATTGGAACAAAAATCTTCACATTTCAAATTAATTATATTTTCTTCAAGCATTATTGTTTTAAGAAGGATTAATCCTGTACATACTTTCTTGGGAGAAGGCCTCATTCAAATAATAGGTACTTGCTTTTTAAATAAAAACTTAACTGGATTCTACTTATTTTAAAAGTAGAGAAAGATTCTCCATGAATTGAGGTTCATAAAATGAAAAATCAGCAGTTTATCTAAAATACCGCACTAACTTTGCTTTACTAAGTTTCAGTTTGTTTTTAAGATAAACACTGAAATGCTTTAGTAAAAATATACTATATTTAAACTTTCAACAGAAGTATTATAGACCAATTCATACTTTTTGGCTTTGCTTAGAAGTGGCTTAGGGCTGTACTTTTGATCAAAGTAGACACTTTTTATTTTTTAAGATTCCTGCGAACAGCCTTGCTTATGATATGGATCCTTTGAAGGGTTTGATTTTAACCTCTGGCCCACATCTCTAGCACAGCAGTGGGCTACAGTTCAAATCACAGAACAAAACACTGATGTTATTCACCCAAGAGAAAGAGTTGCAATAAGGGTAGGAAGACAAGCTATGTATGTTGACTATCTTACGCTTAAGCTATTCTCATCACCCAAGTGGACCAAAAATATTGTTTAATAAAAAGTGCTATAAAAAGATTCACAAACATGTCATGAAATGGGAAGAATGACTATATTGCTTAAAGCAGCTTCTCTTCACACAAGTTGCAATATTATTCAGTTAGCCCTGAATGAAAGGAATAAAGGTAATTCTGGAATCACATTTATTTGGTTTGTCAATTGCTTACAATAGGTATAAGTAAAAACATAGTTATGAATACATAGATACATATAAGAAAAAATAAAAGAAACAATAGAACAGGGATGGTAGGCACATTGGTGCGCTTATGCACACCCCCTACAGATCTCTTAGGAAAGGGGTGAGGTCAATAGTAGATAGTCTAAAGTTAAAGTTTTGGGGGTTTGGGGAAGAAACCACAGAGTCAGGTAAAGTATTCCAGACATTGACCACTCTGTTGCTGAAGTCGTATTTCCTGCAATCACGTTTGGTGCGACTAACCTTGAGTTTGTATCTATTGTTTGCTCTTGTATTGTTGTGGTTGAAGCTGAAGTATTCAATGAAAGGTAGGACATTGTAATGTATGATTTCATATACTATACTTAGATCGGACTGAAGGCAGCGGAGTTCTAGGTTTTCTAGGTCTAGAATTTTGAGTCTGGTGGCATAAGGTATTCTGCAATGTGTAGAGGAGTGGAGAACTCTTCTTGTGAAATATTTCTGGACTGTCTTAACTGTGTTAATATCAGATACGTAATGTGAGTTTACTCACATTACTCACAGGTAACTGAAATTGCCAAGGTAGATAGTGTTGACCATCTTTTTGGATGATGCTAGTACCTCATAGCCTTGATACATAACCATTAATATTAAATAATTTGTTTCTGTATCTCCTCCAACAATAATTAAGCTAAGATTTGTATGATTACTTGTTTAGTTTCCATGGATTATGTCAGAAGTGCAGTAAAGAAATTCAGCACAATCATTTGACCCTGGAATTTTAAAATATTTATGAATTTCTTATTGACTAGTATAAATAACAAATACTACTGCAACTGCTGCTGTATTTAAACAAATCACCATTCAGTTTTTATATCTTGCAGATATAATCTAAAGTTCCGCAGTTCTGAAAACTTTGGGATGTGGCTTCAGAAACTTCCAAATACTGTAACATATTTTTGGTTTGAGATTATCACAAGCAAAAAATATTAAGGCAAGCAATATCTTAATAATTGTATTTCATTTAAATAACTTTTAAATTTAGTGATAGTTTTCACTACATTGTTTTCAGAATATAGCTCTAAATTTTTCTTGGCATATTTGTCAAGTATAACTCAACATTTGTCTCAAGAAAAGCAAGCATCTGGTCTGTTAAGAATTTCATATCCTTGTTGCCTCGTTCATTTATCTGTCTTAATCTGTGCTGTTATACATTGTATATGTTATTCATATATGCGTATATATAATTTATATCCATATATACACATGTGTTTACTTTATATAAATAATAAAATGATCTACCATAGTGAGAAATAAATTGATTCCTTTGCAAACTTTAGGACTTGGACTTATTTTGCAGAATTTCTTGCAACAATTATATATGTCAATTTGTGACCTTAAGCTTGGCTGAATCCTTGGGAACTTTTTTTCTTGTTAGTACTGCAAGGCATTGAATGTAATTTTTGTTTAAATAATAAAAAAAAAATCCATGTGATGAGATCCATTTTCCACCTGTGAATCAAAGCCTTATATCATTACTGCACACAAATCTTTATTTAATTCAGGGTTCACCAACCTTTTGAACCTCCGGGACCACCAAACTTATAATTTTAAATCCTGCAGACCAGAGACCCTGGGAAAATCCCCCAAATCAATCATTCTTTATTTGGGATCGCATGATACTGTCTCCAGCTCCATTCTCAGAGGGAGAGAGAGAGAGAGACTTTTGGCTTCATGCAAGGAAAACAGCAGAAGCAGCAGAAGTTTTTTTTTCTCTCCCCCATAGTCCACCAGAATGCCGCAACCTCTTGGAGCAGGATGCCTTGCAGGGTCCCAAAGACTCATTTCTGGTGGAGTTTGGGGGAGAGAAAGAAAGATTTTTGCTGCTTTCCTTGCATGCAGCCAAAAGCATAGAAGGAAGAAGTGGAAAGAAGCAGCCTGGTGGCCAGGCCAGACGCATGGGGCACATAACACTGTAATATTAATCTACATATAACAGTGGTTCTCATTGAAAAAGTCCATGATATTGGGAAAAATTGAAGGCAAAAGAAGGAGAGGATGGCAGACAATGACATGGTTAGAGAATATCATTGGTGCAGTGGATGTCAATGACTCCAGGAGAAAATAGGGGACAGGGATGGGGAAGGATAGTGTCCATGAAGGTCACAAAAAGCTTGACATGACTTGTCAACTGAACAACAAAAACTGCATACCACAGGCCTGTAGTGCCATAGTAAACTCACAGGGATTCCATAGTATATTTTACTATTTAATAAATAGAACTGTTAGTAAGTCTGCTTCTGTGCTCAGGATATTATTGCATACAGTTTGCGAACCATGAAAGTTTAGGAACATTTGCATAGAGCAGGGTTGTCAAATTCGGGTCATCATGGTGATGTCATATGATATATCAGGACTTTTTGCTCGCTAAACCGGGTGGAAACGGAATCAGCAAGTGACACATCCAGCCTGAAGCTGCAAGTTTGACACCCCTGGCATAGAAAAAACATCCACGCTGCCCTCAATAGTACCTATAGATGTTTAGCGCCAACTTTTGAGAAATATACTGATTTTTTAAAACAACCTTTTATTATATACATAGCTGTAATTATTTTCATGCATTTAAAAATAAAACATAAATATATAAATACACAGAATTTCCTATAACAAACAGCCAATCAAGCTTAGGAGGCAAGCCACTTTATTTATACTGATCAAACTGTTAGATAATGTATTTTTCTTCACATAGTATTATACTTTCCTTTACCAAATTCAGCTTGACTTACACACACTCACACCCTTAGAATATGAATCCATATTTGAGACCATCTGGTGAGGAAACATAAAAATAAAAGCATGGTTTGCTTTTCTACTAAAGTTGTTGTGTTAATTCAAAATAACCCAGCCATGTATTTTTACAGATGGACTTGGTGGCCATACTTGCCATGTGAATTCTCTACAGGGGACCTGGGAACAGCAAAAACCCTAGGATATGCGCTTGTCTGCCTGCTTGCACACTTTGAAATGTTCGGCAAATCCTGATTTATTCATCGCCAAATGTTTTCCTATCTGATTAGGCAGTTTTCTACTTCAGTAAGCATGTAATATGGAGGTAGCCAAATTTCCACACTGAGGAGTGAAACAATAATATTTTTGGTTTGCAAGTAAAAACAAGCTAAAAGAACCAGCCTGTTGGGATCATAAAGGGATTCATGGGGGTTTGAATTCTAATATAACTATATTCTGGGTATGAAGAAGGGAAGATTTAGGATTCAAAATTGTTTAGAAAAGAAACACAAGGTCATATTTGTAATAAATTATCTTAAGGGAAAAGTGCTGGCATCTGGTGGTTGTGGTTGTTTTGTTTCTAAACCCACATTTCTAAACCTATGAGTGAATTTGGCATATAGTGCAACTATTTCACCTATAATGTTTGATAAGAGATTCTGCTTCCTGTTGGAACTCAACTCAGATGGTCCTTCTAGTATATCTGAATCAAGCAATCTAATTAGGTCACATCTGCCAGGAGCCCCGCATCTTATGATCTCTATGAAAAGAGGAACAGTTAGGTTTACAGAGATACATGTAGAGATCTCAAAAGAGTGGCTCGGGACTAGGGAAAGCTTTCAAATACTCAGAAATGCATACATAGAACTTGTTCATATGAATGCACAGAAAAATAACATAATATGTGAATTCTCAGGACATAAGGCTATTCAAAACTGACTTATGTTTTAATATGATTCCTACATTGGTTAATATTTGCATTTAATACAAACCAATTTCAAATTTTAGAATATTACATAAGGGAAATATACAAATTACAGTGCAGCTAATGTATGACTATTCAAAGCAAAGCTCACAAAATTTAAAAATAAAAATTTGAGTTGCCATGGTAGAATAGGCAGAAATATTAATTCAATAAATAAATAAATAATTTTTGTACTGGATTATATGTGTGGTTGAAAATTATGACTTTATAACACAATATAGTTTGGGAGGGTCACAAACTAGAGCCAGATGTCCATGGTATGATAGAAGAATGGCAATACTCCTACAGCAAACATTACTAAAGCAAAATATTGTACAACTAGGTGCAAAATAACATTTATGTATATACAGCGATCGTTAAAGTTTTGTTAAATTTTCAATAAGTCTGGATAAATCTGTTCCAAAATATTATCTGTTTTCCACACAAGTCCTAAAAGTAGTTAAAGAAAATCCAGTTAAAAAGACGAGTTTAAAACAATATATCTGTCCATTGCCCTATTTAGGATGATCAAAAGCTACATATTTGTGTATGGCAATATATTTTGAGCATTATCTGTTCATCTAAAGGAAAAATTAGCGTCAGATTTCAATAAACAGGATGATAACTATATGTAAAATTACTTGTCTATATGCTGACAATATAATTTGATTCTTAAACTGTGTTGTGTATTTTCTTAAGAAGATAATGGAAGTTGGATTTCTGAAGTCATGAGTGTAAAGGGGATATCTAATAAAAGGAATGGCTCTTAAAGATAATCTGAAAATTGCTTCTGATTCAATGTACAGTAGCACAAAGGGTATCTTTTGACTCTTACATGATCCTCATGTTGACACCATTTTTCTGATCCCCAGTTGTCTTCTTAGCCCTATTCAAAATGCATGTAAGAATTAAAGTAAAATAAAATTTATTAAATTAAAACTATTATACCATTAATTCCCATATAATCTTTCCTGAATGCTAAGGTAATCAGGTTTTTATGTTTTTTGGGTGGGTCCCACTGTAGACATATATGAGATCATTGATGAACTTAGCATTCTATATGGCAGTTCTCCTATTATGGAAAATAATTATCAGAAGAGCTGAAACATATTCTTTGTCCAATTAAATCATGACCCTCAGGCCAAGCTTCGAAAGAAATCCAGTTATTTATTAGGAGCTTTATGTCGGCATGGATCAAGTGAAGCCAACTCTGACCTCACTTAATTCATGTCTTAGGTCTGACTCTGTTTCTCCGTTCCCCCCAGGTGTGCTATCAATCATATTCCCCAAGGAAGCAATTTAATGGCTCCCTCTGGCCACTGTGGATCTCCTGGAGATAACCTTGATGTTGCTGGTGGAATGTGCTTTGTTTTGACTAAAATGCAAATGCCTCAATGCAGTTGTGCGGCTCGATTCCCCATCCCCCTGCCTATGGCAACTCGAGAGCAGGTCAGGAATGCTTCACAAGTTGACATACTTCTTTTCTTCACTACAATTTAGGAAAGAAGGTTTTAAATGTCATTATTTTAGCCACATGTTTTGATGGTCATGGTGACAGTGGTGTGTTTAACAGATGTTAGGCAGGTTTTGATCTGTCTCTGTTAAGAGCTGATAAGGAAAGGTCTACTATCTATAATATATGTTGTATATAAAAAATAAACAATACTTTTAAAATAGCACATGTAATCATTCATGTCTAACAAGTGTAGAAAAATATAAAAACACACTGCGATAAATTCAAGAGAATTTACATCCATATTTTGGCATTTTAAAAATACTTGAAATAAAACTTATTTTTTAAAAAGAAAAATTGACAGTATTTAATACACCAATGCACACAAAACTGCAACATTCATGAAGAACCAAGGAAGCCAATGGAAAAATTGATTCATTATTTATAAATATATTATAAATATGGTTCTATATTTCTTAAAATATTAAGATATTATTTTTTAGTTTTAAATATATTGCAGTTTTAAATATATTATAAAGTGAAAACATATAGTATTAGTTTATACTTGCTATGGTTTAAAATATTTTTGTTAGTGAGATGGGCAGAATAAATTAAACAAACAATTTTTTATGACAATTTGAACCAAATGCCTGTAGACTTGTTATAATATAAGTATATGATGGAGAATAAAAACTAACAATAACCTTGGGCTTCTTTTCAAATAAGTTATAAAAATAATTTTATAATACAAAAATCAGTTTTAAATAGGTTTTCAAGACATTGATCCAATCTAGCTGTTTAGGCATTGTTGAATATCTAAATTACCTCTGTATGTATCCAGAATTGGTAAAGGAGATTAAACTGGAGATGAACAGCAAATACTGAAGGTGGAATACAAAGAGCCATTGGGAGGTAGAATATCTAAAAACAAAAAGAATAATGGACCAAAATATTCTTTTAAAATTCAAATTTGTCAAGTAAGGAATTTTAGAAGTTAAGACACAATACTTCAGCAATCTATTATCCTCTAAATCCAGTGGACTAAAATTTTATTTTTCTAAGCCAAAACCAAGGTAGGGAAAGTTCCACTGTGCAACTCTCTGTATTGTGGGTATAAAATTAGATCATGATATGCCTCAAACAATATGAACAGAAAGAGCCAGATAACAGAAAATTCTTGGCATCCTATGATAATCTAACCCTGTGAAATATGTTTCTTTGAAATCTAGTAGCAATAAAGAGGAGAAAATGACAAAATGGGTTGCCATGTTTCATTATTTTAAACTTCTTAACTCAACTATTTTCCTTGTTGTTCTTTTCATATGGAACACCTTACTTGTCAGAATGATGAATTCCTAAAGGAGTAATACTTTCCATACAACTCATGTGCCTCCTTCTAATTATCATTAAGAAAGAATCTGAAAACTTCCAGGCCAAAACATTAGCACTTTTATCCAACAAAGGCTTATATAACATTTGTATATTTATATAAAGCATTTTAAGAGAAAAATTTGGAACAGTTATTATCTGGGAAATATAAAATTATGAACTGACAGCATATAGCCTTTTCCAAAGCAACAAGGGAAGATTGTGAGAAGTTTGATTATTTTCCATTTTGGCATAACAAAAAAATTGATTTTTGGCACAGTGAAACAAAACAAGCAGCAAAAATACTTTTGCTTCTTTGTCGAGTCCATCTGAAAATAAAAACCAATTGCTTCATTGGAGACCACATATTTTCATAATACCACACAAATTATAATGTTTGGTTTCAATCTGCAACTTCTTATATAAATATGTCCTGATTCCTGATTCCATAGTTAATAAGCTCTCATATCTTCAAGAACATCTCATTTTAATTAAGAGAAAAAAATTCACCACATAATCGACTTGCTTCTTAATCCATTTACGAATTTGTTCCAATTGTCCATGATGCTAAACAGTGTAGATGGTTTATTAGATTAGCGATTATATTATCACATTATTGTGATACTTATTTAAATTGTTATAAGTCTATAAGAGTGGCAGTTCAGCAGTGCAAATCCTTAGTGCTGCGTAAAGGGGTGAGCTCCCGTTACTTGTCCCAGTTTCTGCCAACCTAGCAGTTCAAAAGCATCTAAAAATGCAAGTAGAAAAATAGGGGCCACCTTTGGTGGGAAGGTAATAGCATTCTGTGCACCTTTGGCATTTAGTCATGACCACGGACACATCTGCAGACAGCGCAGGCTCTTTGCCTTTGAAACAGAGATGAGCACCACTAATGAATGACTAGCACATATGTGTGAGGGGAACCTTTTTAAATTACAGAGATTTTAGGATGAATTTAGTGAAATATATTAAAAAGCAATGACAAATTATAATTTCAATTTAAATGCATGGTCTGAAATACTTAGAGTATTATGTGAAATAACTCACAATAAAAACAGTAGACAACTACTTTCAAAGGAGTAGGCATAATATAATGTGAGATAGTTTGGAACTCTATTTTAAACTTATTTTCAATGAACCTATTTTCATATTTTCCACTGTTTACTAATAAACTATGACTTGACTTCTTAAATTGTAACTATTCCATTCCAAAGGCTTTGTTATCATGGGTCAGCAAATCTGACTAGTACTTCTGTGAAAAATAGAGTAAACTTTTTCACCTTCTTGTAGCTCTGGTTCAAATTACAGAAATAATGTGAGAAGGAATGGTGATCAATGGCTGTCACAGTAAGATTGCCCTCATATTCAGCATGGAGGTCATAGTGTATTTGATCATCTGACAAATTAACTGTCTTAAGGAAGGAAAGAGGCTAAATTGAGCAAGAAACAGTCACTAATTTTTTTGTCTTTGACATGCACTACATATTGGACATACTTACCCATGATGCAAATTTTTGCAGAATAGATTGCCTTAATGCGGTGAATAAGTTGTAATGTTCGGAACTATGATGAACCTGATGTCCAGCCCATAAAAAATTAATTTCTGTAATAAAATAAAAATATTTGTGAGCCATGCACTATTATGATGAAATTTAGATTTTTAAACAAAAATTACCAATAAGCAATATGTCCTTTCATGTGCACATAAATTTTGCATTTAGAAATATGCATGATGCTCCAGTCTATGAAAAACATATGTAATGTGTTGATCTAATCAATATCCTAGCAGTTAATTCTGAAAAAAATCTCTGACAGACTGCAGAGAATGATATCTTGAATTCTTTCCTGAATTCCTTTCATAGAAGTAGGAAATATTATATTTTGTTCTGTGTAATAACACAGTATATTCAGGGGTGGGATTCTACCAGTTCGCACCTACTCGCTAACACTGGTTGCTAAGCAGTTTGGAGAACCGGTTGTTAGAAGAAATTACTGGCAGGACTAGTCTTCCTGTCTCAGGAACGTCTCTGGAGTTTTTTCCCCTCCTTTGCTGGTACTTTGCTTGTGTGGCGTGACCATTCAAAGTTACAGTGGCACCGAAAAAAGTGACTTATGACCATTTTTCACACTTACGACTATTGCAGCATCCCACAGTCATGAGAGGCCAGGCAAGGAGATGTGTGCCTCGAAGTGAGTGATATTGAGTTGGCCACACCCAGCCAATAACATGACCACCAAGCCATGTCCACCCAGTCACATGACCACCAAGCCACACCTACCACCTAAGCCATGCCCATGGAACTGGTTGTTAAAAATTTTGAATCCACTCCTGAGTATATTGTATCTAAATGCAGGGATATAAATTATTCAAGAGGTTATATTTCTCTATAGCAGCCCTGGCTTGAACTAATCCATTTCCTTACTCAGTCTTTTTTTTTTTTGCCAGCATCTCTTGCCATATACATCTTTTGCTTTGTACTATTTAGTTTTTAGTTACTCTGCTAACTAGTTTTTAGTTACTCTGCTAACTAGTTTTTAGTTACTCTGCTAAGGGAAAGACAGATAAACATACCAGATGCCCAAACTCTCTCTATATAATTTATTTCCAGCATTCTATTTTGTTGTAAAGAATAACAATATATAATTGTTAGAAATTTGTTTATTTTTAACCTGGAAAAAAGTATCTAAAAATAAAACTGTAAAGGAAAAAACAAGCATTTTAACAGAGCTGTATGTTTTATAAGCATATATATGAATTTAAAAGTAAGCATGAAATAAAGAAATGTATGACACTTATTTTATTGCAATTTCTTTCACATACTCTTTAAGTATAGGTAGATTCCAATTCATACATTCCTTTGAAGTTAAATGTTTTATGCTTTACTGCAAAAAATCAAGTATCTTTTTTTCCTACTCAGGAAGATACCCACCCACCCCCAAAATCACTGCCTTCTTCAATTTCTCATATAATACAAGAATCTTTCATTTATTTATTTTTAAAGGTACATAAATAGGATCTATCACAAATTGATTCTCTGATTGAAAAAAGTAATTTAATTTAAAGAAGGATTTTACAACAGATTCAAGGCACAGAAAGGTGATCTTGTATTATTGGAGGCAACCAATTAATTTGGTCCTGTCAGGTTTTTTTGTTTGTTTGTTTTGTAACATCTTACAGATGTTTTCACAGGTTTTTTTTTGCAATTTGTACAGATGGTGCCTTTCTTCAGAACAAAACAAAACTACAAAAAGACTTAAGACAAGATATCAAGGTAAGGTTGGGTTAAGTATACAGCAACAACATGCACTTGTCCAGATAACTAACATATTTAATCTTTTCTTAAGATAACAGTAACATATTCCTCAGCAATCCACCAATCTTCCTCAATAATAAGATTCACAAGAGGCCTACATGTGAATGAGTTGCTTAAAATATTGGGATAAACTAGCTTTTCTCAACTGCCAAACAACATTGGCAGCTAAAGATTTTAGAGAGAGATACAAAACTGGCAATTCTTCTCCCACTTTTTATATTTTATTGTTATACCAGACAAATTTCAAGCCTGAAAAGTCCTGTTAAAGTCCACTTGAACTTGTGTTTCTAATTTTTTTCCATTTGACAGCAACCCTGTACAAAGCCTAGAGGTGTTGATTAAATGTTAATTAACACTTTATGGCCACGATTCCTACATTTTCATTCAGAAGAAGGTACAAGCTAATCTCTAGTCCAGAAGTTTCCAAACATGGCTGGCTAAGAAATCCTAGAAGTCCATAACCTTAAAGTTGCCAGGTTTGAAAACTCCTGCTCTAGCCCAACATGTGCACGTTGGTCTTTATCTCTCTTTGATACCCGGTCTCAATAGTCACTTATTATTGCCATTTATTTAAAGTAGGTCTAAGATCACTATTTTATTTATCTTGGATATGTGAATATGTCTTTGGCAAACTCTGCTAAAAAAGATGAACTCTTTTGGTTTTGACAGATGTACTGCCTAAGAGGTGTGAGAAAGCCTTAAGAACATCACTGAATGAAGGTGATTGGTGGTCTCCAGAAATTGTTGTATTTATGAGGTTTGATGAGTTTAAATAAAGCATATGATAATATGAAAATTGACTAGGCAGAAGCTTCTTTGCAATAATGCAAACATGTCCTTAAATTGCGATACATTTGCTATATGACATTGTAAACATTATACAACAGTATTCTCTATGCCAAAACCACATTGGAAGGATGGTGCTTAATACCCAATGTAAATCTCTTAAATGAAACACATTAAGAGATCTTAAGACCAAGTATTGGACAAATTTCAAACTATGTGTAAAGCTAGATATTAACATTGATAACTCAAAAATTATGACCTGTTATAGGAAACAACTTAATCATCCATAACTATATGAAGCTCTCACAATACGTACAACTAAACCTCCCCCCACTATGATTTAAACCTGGAAAGAATCCCTAATATCCACTCTACAGCGATTTTTTTAAAAAAATCATCTTCTGTTCAACTATATAGTATTCTTAAACTTCAATTCATAAGGAAAACAAAATAACTTAATCTACCCTTCCTAATGAGTTCATTAGGGACTATGTTATTCATTCAAACTACAATAGTGCATAATAATTTACATTTGAAATACTTCCTAGGAGTATGACAGAAGCTAAACGAGCAAACTAAAAAAAAATCTAAAAAGTGTGGAGGTTAAAGATCTGTCTCTTTAGTTGTTTTAAAAGCATATACTTCCTATCACAAACTGTGTGTAACACAAGCCTCAATTCAATGAGATACAGCTGTGCAAATACAATACTGTAACTGAATCTTGCTTTTTTGCTCCCCCTTCATTTTTTTATATTATGAAAAGTCAAGGAAAAGAATCTATGATGATTTTATATTCTACTCTTATTCACATGAAGGTCAAATGATATTCAGAAAGAATTACTACCAAGTCCTTTTTATTGCTAAACAGTATTCAATTAAGCTAGCAAAAACAACAACAAATTATGTTCTTCATTTTAAATACATTAAACAGACAGCTGGGAAAATTAGTGTTTAAAAAACCCAGTACAAAAACCTATGCACAGGTGGAACTAAGGTATATATGAGTTTGCATTCCAACTGCTGTAGTGTTTCCCACTATTTATTACAAACAAATTATTAGTTAAAATAGAAAGCAAAAAATCCTCTAATATATCTTGTTTCAATCAAACAACATATCAATTATTTCATACAATACACATTCTGAAGTGTCCATTGAGTTTGATATGGCTCATTCATAAATAATAAAGAAATCTTTAGAATCAAAGCTAAAAAAATTAATTTTGATTTTACTATACAAATGGCAACCTTCTGTGAAAAATTAATTTTCACATTCTGCACATTCACTGGTTGCTTTAAGGGAATTTTCCACCTCAAAACATTGTTTGATTCTTAATTACAATATACACCACAGCAGACTTTGCTTTCTACCCCAACCTGAATATAAATATTAGAAGAATATAATTTTTAAATGAGATGAATAAAATACAGCATGATTTTATTTCAGAATCTTTATTACATCCAATCTTTGTTACATCCAAATATTTTCACTACTTTTGAAGCAAAAAAATTGCAGAAAAATTGTAGTATTCATGTTATAACCATGTTATCAAACTATCTAGCCTTAGTCATGTTTACGTTAGAAATTCAAGAATTAAATTGAACACCAAGTTGAAATATCTGATCCAACTTTTTTTAATTTCAGGAGACATATTTGTGGAAATGAACAATGAGAATGTTTACCTTTCTTTTAATCCTCACTCATATGATATGGTATCATTTTCCATAGACTTTTCTTGGAAAACTACGTTATAAAGTCCTTCACTTACAACCAGAAATGAACCCAAAATTTCAATTGCCAAGCAAGACAGTTGTTCAGTACATTTTTCCCCTTTTTACAATCTTTCTTGGTGCAACTGTTCAATGAATCAGTGCAGTTGTTAAGCTAGTCATGTGATTTTTAGTGAATCTAGTTTCCCCGTTTATTTTGCTTGTTAGAATGCAAAAGATGACCATATGATCCTGTGATACTGCAATGTTATAAATACAAATCAATGGGCAAACATCCAAATTGCATGATCACAGGGATGGTGCAAGGGCCATTAAATGTCACTAATATAACTTTCCTATAGATTATTGTGAAGAACATAAATGAGAGAACTTAATCCAACTATTAAATTGGCCACACAAAAACTGAAAAGTTAGATGTTTAAGTTAGCTATCAGTGTTGAGACTTAACATGTTGTCAGAGTTTTGAAAGCTGTATGATGCTGCTGAATCTATTCAACACTTAGCTGGTTGTAACTAGAAGGAGAGTCTTTCAATTGGTCCTATGTTATTAGAATAGTCTAGACAGATACATCATGTTGCTGCCAGGTTTTGACTTTCATTCCTACCAAGTGATTAGACGATTGCCTCAAATGTAACTGTTACTTGCTGCTTTGCTCATTTTATTTGCTGTTTTATTGCTTATTTTTACATTTTTATTACTATACATTATTTTAGAAATGTTAGATCAAGAAGTAATTCATATGTGTGAAAAAAAATCACCCTATATTGCTGTAAT